TTTTTTTTTTTTTTTTTTTTTTTTTTTTTTTTTTTTTTTTATAAGGTATATAAATTTCTTATAACATTAACATAATTCTATATTCTAAATATTATTTTAAATAAATAATATTTTATGTAAATAAAATAATTTAATGAACTAAAGTATAAAGTATGTTTTAAGATTTTTTTTTTTTTGTTTTATAACATTAAAAAAGAAAAAAAAAAAAAAAAATATAAGATTTTTGCATTATGTAAAAAATTTTGTCACTCTTTTTAAATTATTTATTTTTTTTTTTTTAAAGTAGCTTGTTGTAAATACCTAAAAATTATTCTTCCTCTACGTTTTTCAAAATCTAATTTATGAACTTGAATTTTAACAAGGTCACCTAAATTAATCTTTACCTTATTAATTCGTAATTTTCCTGAAATAAAACATAAGAATTTTTCTCCATTTGAAATTTTTACTATAAAATTAGTGTTAGCTAAGCATTCTTCAACTGTTCCATTCATTTCAATAACATCATTTTCTTTCCCTCTTAATATATTATTTTTTAAATTATTATGTCTCCTCTTCAAATTTTGAATGATTTTTTTTTTTTCATTCAATGTACTTTTTTTGTAAATTTCTGAGATTGTTTTCTTCCATATGTCTATTTTATTATTTGGGTTAATAAAACAACTTCTTTTTAAACTTAATTCATTTGTTAAATAAAGAAAATATACATAACAAAAAAAAAAAAAGAAAAAAGAAATTTTATCGAACATATATAACTTTTAAATATATATGAACATTTTTATTTATTTATTTATATTATAAAAATAATGTAGAAAAATAATTTGTGATGCACTATTTAATAACATTTACATATATATATATATATATATCAACTATTTTTTTTTTCCTAGAATTTTTTCATATGGTTACATTATAAACTCTTTTTTGTTTTCTTTTTTTAAATTTAATATATTAATTATAAATTAAATATACTAAAATAAATACAATTTCATATTTTTTTTTTTTTTTTTTTTTTTTTTTTTTATAAAATTAAATTCCTATAAAAAATTTTAAATCAGAAAAGTAAAAAAAAAAAAATTTTTTTTTTTTTTTTTTTTTTTTCTTGTTTAATATATACAATTATTACTCTTAAAAAGAATATAATTTTTTGTAGTAATAAATATAACAAAAATAGTAATGATAAAACTTAATTTTGAAATAATTTAATATGTTTGATTCATTTTTAAAACATATTTCTCTTGTTAAAATAAGTCTTAATATTTATATATATATATATTTTTTTAAATACACAATAAAAAAAAAAAGATATTTATATCTATTTTTTAAACATTATTTGCTTTTTCTTTTATTAATTTATATATTTATGGGTTTTAATTTTGAATATTTCCAAGGTGTTTATGTTCAATTTATATATTTAATTAGAAAAAATTTACTTTTTTTTTTTGTATTTTTAGTATGTTCTTAATAATGTTTAAAAGATTTCAAAAAGTAGTTTGATATATAAAATTTATTATTTAAGATATATATAAATTGTGTCACCATATACATTTTATATAAATAATGGTAAAAAAAAATTGTCATTAATAAGAGAAGATTGCATAAGAGATGTAATTTTAGATAATAATAAAAAAAAAAAAAAAAAAAAAAAAAAATATAATTTTTAATAAATACACAAGAATGAAAAAAAATTACAGTGTTCTAGATGATGAAGAGAAATTAAATGATTATGATTATAATATAAGTTACAGAGAATATAAAAAAACTATAAGAAATTTGCAAATAAAATTTGAAAAAGATTTAAGTGAATTGAAAGAAAGGATAAATTTGTATGAAAACAATATACAAAAAAAAAATGAAAATGATATATATGAATTTATATCTAATAATAAAAAAAAAATAGAAGAATTAGAAAATTGTCATAAAAATGGTATAGAAAATTTATTTATAATGAAAAGTTACTTTAGTAAAAATAGTACTTATTCTATAGAAATTGATAGATATCTAAGTATTTTTGATAAATTTAAAATTCAGTTACAAAGCATAAAAAATACATTTGATAAAATATACCTCAATTGTAATATATATATAAAAAAAGAAAATAATAAATTTATTAATAATAATGAAATTAATCATGTATTTAAAGAAAGAAATGCATTAGAATATTCTTTAAAAGAGTTAGACAATATTATATCAATTGGCGAAAATACAAATTTTAAGTTAAAAAATCAAAATTATCATATTATGCAACATATAAAAAAAATAAATCAATTAAATTCATATTTGCCTCAAATACAAAAAATTTTAAAAAAAATTAAATATTACAACTTAAAAAGGATAATTATTTTATCTGTAACTATATCATTATGCATATTTTTTTTTTTTATATTTAAATAATTTTCATATATATAGATATATAATACACGAATATCACTTAAATATTCATTGATAAGAATAATGATTTATAATAATATTAATCTAATTATAAAATGTTACCCTAAAAATTTATATATATATATATATAATCATTTAATTTTTATATTAATTTGATAATTTATAATAATTTAGTAAATATTTTTTTTTTTTAAAACCCATATATTGACTTTTAAAAATTATAAAAAGTTTTAATAAAAAAAAAAAAAAATTATGAAAACAAATCTAAACAAAATAAAAATTTATATATTTAAATGGTTTTTTAAAATAGATACATAAAAAATGCTAAATAAAGAAGAAATATTAAAAATAAAAGAAACTAATAATATTTATTATTATTATTTAAATTTTTTTTATTTTATAATATATATAAAATAATATTTAATTTATCAAAACAAGTAAAAATCCTATAATTTTATTAAAAAGAATCATTAAATTATATTTATCTTAATATTAAACATTTGATATTTGAATACTATTCTAATAAACTATAAGAATGATGTCTTTTTTTTTTTTTTTTTTTTTTTTTTTTTTTGTAATTCATTAAAAAAAAAAACAAAATAAAATACTTATATAATTTTTTTTTACTTTTTCAAAAATAAGAAAAATAACATGTAAAATTTTTTAAAAATATTTTTAAATAATATTCTTAAACATATTTTATTTTTCAATTTGATTCACAACTTTTTTTTGAATTTGCTTAAAATTGAAAATTTTCAAAGAAAGATAATAAAAAGTACATGCAAAAAATTTTGTAAATAATATGTATATTTAATATGAATAAAAATTATATATAACAAAGAATTAAAAAAAAAAAATAAAGAATAATTTTTTACAAAATATAAAAATGTGTATTTCTTTTTTATATTTTGAAAAATAAATTTAATAAATAAACACTAAAAAAACAAACTAAAAAAAAAAAGCAAAGAATTAAATCCAATAAATTGAAGGACAAATTCCAGCATATAACAACAACAAAAAAAAAAAAAAAAAAAAAAAAAAGGAAATTTTTAAAAATCTATTTGTTTTGAATATATACAAAGTTTTTTATTATAAGGATTATGTAAATGAATCTCTCTAGAACATTTTTTTTTATTTCTATATTCTATAAATAAATGAATAGATTTAAATTTGTTTTGTTCAATAAGAAGATAACTTGGATGAGATATACCATTATTCATGAATAAACTCATTCCTGTATCAATTAGAAAATATTTGTTATCACAAAAAGAACCAATTTTATGTGATACTTGTTTTGTATGACCAACAACTAAATAACTTGAATTATACTTTTTTAAAATTTGAAATAATTCAGAACATCCCTCATGATGATTAAGTCTTACTTTATAAGAAAAATCATCATACCACAATACACTATCATGATTTAAGTAATTATAGTTATCATACTTAAGAATCTTACACTTATTTTCTATTTGTAATCTTATTTTTAAATTTATTAAATTTATACTAAATTGAGACATTTTTTTGCTAATTCCTGCATGAGTAAATATTGCATTGTTAACTTTTACTATAGAAGGTAATTTAATTAATTTTTTGAAGTAATTTCCATTTTTATTATTAAAACTAAATGATCTGTAATTATAATTATTTTCAAAAAATAATTGTGTTTCTTTTTCATTGACATAATTATAATAACCGCATAAATTTAATTGTTCATGATTTCCTAATATTAAAATTATTTTACTATTTTTTATAACTGCTTTTTTTTGTAAATCAAATAAATAATCATAAATAAGTGGCCCATATATTCCTCTATCTAAAATATCTCCTACCTGAATTAATAAAACATTTTCTCCACACCATTCATCATTTTCATCTATTAAATTAGAATGTTTTAAAATTAACTTCAAACCTTCAATATCCCCGTGTATATCTCCTATAGCAACTATTTTTCCATCCCATTTCAAATTATCATAATTATAAAAGTAAGATGAATCGAGGTTTTTCTTATTTATTACCAAATTTTTAAATAAAAAATTATCTTTTAAATAAATGGAACTATTAATTTCTTTAACTATCAATATATATATTAATAAAAGTATACATATTTTTTCATCTATAATCATTTTATATATATATATATATATATAAACATATATAAATATATATATAAATATATATATAAATATATATGTAAAACGAGTATATCATGTAATATCTACAATATATATACAATAATTTGAAGAAAGAATATAACATAAAATTATGTTTAAAAAATTAATAGAAAATAAAAGGATAAACATATATATATATATATATATGTGTGTATATTTATATATTCTTTAAAATAAATGACTAAGGTATATATTCATATTTATAAGGCCAAAAAAAAAAAAAAAAAACAAAAGAAAAAAATGAGTAAGTTTATTATTAAAAATTATGCATGGAAATACACATGAGGTAAAAAATTTTAATTTAAAAAGTTTTAATATTATATTTTATATATATGATGTAGAGAATAAGAAAAGAAATAATGTATAATAAAAAGAAATAGAACTATTACAACAAAATTTATCTAATAAAAAATTTTGTTAGTTATAATAACTAAAAAATAAAAATATATATGCTAATGAGTGTATTTTTCTTTTTTCTTTTTTTTTTTTTATATTCTCACTAGTTAAGTTCTTCTGTAAAAAAAGTTAAATATAGCAAAATAGTTTTCTATTCTTTTATTATAAAATTAAACTTTTAAGTAAAATATAATAATATATGTATATAAACTTTATAGTAAATGTGTTAATATTTCCATTTAAAAAGAGAAAATAATTTTTTCATTTTTCTTTTTTTTTTTTGTTTTGCTACTATTCTTCTGGATTTATTATTATTCATATTTCTCTTTGATAAAACGTATTCGTAAAAAGGTGTAACACAGTATGTGTAACAAATATATGAAATAAATAAATAATTTTTTACTTTTTTTTCAAGTGATTATTTTAAATTTTCATATTTTATATGTAACTTTTATTTTACAATTTTTTTTTTTATATAATTTTTATTTTAATACATATTAGAGTAAATTATACAAAAAGAAAGATGTATATAAAATTAAAAAGTGAAAATTAAAAAATTTTTAAATTATTTTTATTTCTAAATTTGATAAAAAAAATTTACTTTATGAAATTAAGAAAAAGAAAAGTTTTACACATTAAGAATTATTTTTATATATACGTAAATTTATTTTAAAAGAATCGTAGCAATATTAAAAATTTAAAACAAAAATTATACTGTTATGTTTTTATTTTTTAATTAAAATAGTCTATTTTTTTTTCATTTTCAATTTTTCTAATAGAAGTAGATGGATAATATGAATGAACTAACCTTATGTAAAATTTATAAATTAAATAAAATAAAATATATAAGCAAAAACTAAATGCATATAAAGAAAATATTTTTTTTCCCTATATATATTTATACAATAATTACTTCTAATATTACACTTATTTTTATAATAAGATTTTATTCAAAAAAAAAAAAAAAAATAGACTTAAAATTTAAATAGTATATAGTATTATATTTTTCTCTCTTTTTTTAATTTATATTTAAAAATAGTAATTTATAAGAAATAAGCATAACTTTTTATATAAAATGTGCATATATATCATATAACTAATTTTATATAAAAAGATATTCGTTTTTTTTTTTTTAAATATTTATACTTCTAAACAAATTTAAAGAATATGATTATATGTTTTTCGCATTTTATATTATGAAAATAATATTTTCATTTTTATGTTTTATTTAAAGCAAGTAATATATATATATATATATATTAAAAAAGCATTGTTTGAATTTATTGAATTTTAAAAAAGAATCTAATTAATTTAATTTCTTTTTTTAATAATAAAGGTCAATATTTTATATTTTTTTAATTTTTTTTTTTTTTTTTTTTTTTTTTTTTTTTTGTTATCTTAAAAAAAATAAACATTTTTATAATTAAAAAAAAAAAAAAAAAAAAAACAAATGCTAAAATAACATGTACGTATGTATATACATATATAAAACAAAATTTTATCATTACTAAAAAACTTAAAATCTTTCTTTTAATCTTTTTGCCAAAATATTTAATTTATTAAAAATTTTTCCTTGTGTAGAACCAAGAATTAAGCTACAAATTGAATATCTAGCCATTTTAATGTTATTATAACTACCTAAAATGTGAATTTTATCCCCTGCTATTACAATTCTAGTTTTAGTTGCATTTTCAATAGCGTACTTTGTTGATCCGTTGCTCCCACAAATTCGACCAATACATCTAGATAAATGATCCCCTTTTAACATTTTTACATCTTGAATTTGAAAACTTTCAATATATAAATCTTCAATTCTTAATAAAGCTAATGCATCTTCTATACTAAAACCAAGTAAATATGCTTTTATATAATCTGATGATTTTTGTAAATTGTTTTTATCTTCTGTTAATTTACATGTTCTTACTTCTATTTTATCTTTATTCATTCGTATTTCTAATTTTAAATTTGTTACTATTGGTTTTATTAATTCTAACCAATTTTTTAAAACAGATGATTTTCTTTGTCTAGGAATTGTAATAATTCTCATTTCATTTGTGTTAGTACTAATTTTTTTTTTACATATTAATTTATTTTTCACTTTCTTTTTATTTTCTGTATCTTTTTCTTCCAATATTTTATTTAATGTTAAAATGTTTCGGTTATTATTTTCTTTTATTTTTTCTTCATATATGTTTTTCTTATCATTTTTTTCAATTTTAGTCTTTTGATCTTTATTTTGATTTGATAATGAATCTTTTATAATTCTTTTCGTCATTTTCTTATGTTTTTTGATAGGTTACTAAATTACAACAATTTAAATAAAATAAATATATGAGATTACATAATTATACGAAAATATATGTATATATATATTTTCAAAATAAAATGAATTTTATATATGTTGAAGTTAATACAATTAATTATATTTATAATAATTTAAAAAAATAAAAACTCAATAAATGAATATAATATTTCTGAAAAAAAAAAAAAAATTTATAAAATACATAAAAATAAATTTTAATTTATATTATTTTATAATTAAACAATTGAAGTAACAAATTGCTAAAAAAAGGTATAAGTCTCATTTTAAAATCAAAAAAAAAAAACCAAAGGTTTTTACATTTTAAGGAAATATTAAAAAAATTATAATTTCATATATTTATTAAATGAAAGAGAAAATGAAAAAAAAAAAACTGTAAAATTCCATATAAAATTTTATTCATATTTTCATAAAAAAAACAATTTCATAAATTGTATATTTTTGTATACTGTTTTCAAAAAAATTTTTTTAAACAGACATTTAAAGAAGAAAATAAATAATATATTACAAGAAAAAAAAAAAAAAAAAAAAAATCAATAAAATAAATAAAATATTTTTAATTTTTCATAAAAAGTGATGTTATCTTAAATTTGAAGTACTTTATTTTGTTTCTTATGTTTCTATTGTAGAAAAGGTAATTTTAAGGTTTAATTTAAAAATAAATTTAACGTTTGTTTTCCTAAATATAGAAAACTTAATTTAAATATAACAACTTATGTTTATTCACATTAAAAGTAGAAATATTTCTCAAAAAAATCTTTAAAATTAAAGGGTATATAAAATAAAAAAAAAAAACAAAGTAAAATAAAATACATAGAAATTCTGTATTAAAAAAAAAAAAATATAAGAATATTTAATATCCTAAATGCAAAATAAAAATAACGTTAGCTATTATAGCATTTTATACTTTTTATAAAGAAATAATTTACATAAAAGTTTAAAAAAAAAAAAATGCCTAATTTTACATATAAATATATGAGAGAAAATAAAGATATGCATGAAAAATGTTGAAAAATATATAAAAATGATTTTTTTAAGTTAAAATTCGTATAAATGTTAAAACATAGATGTTCTATTATAAACGAAAATATTTAAAAACAGAACATAAATTTAGAATAAAATTTATTAATAAAGAAATATAATCAATAAAAAATGTGCATTTATTAAATATTTTATATAAAATTCATTCTTATTTATGCATTTATTAATGCATATAGTATTAATTATTAATAAATATGTAATTGCTAGCATTAACATGGTATTAAAAAAATTATTTAAAACATTAATGACATTCAAAAAAAAAAAAAAATATAAAATAAAATATATTAAATTAAATTAAATAATATAAAACAAATAAAGAACTATATTCTTAATATATTTTCTTTTGAGTAAATAGGAAGTCTTAAAAAAAAAAAAAAATAAAATAAAATAAAATATATATGTTTTCAAAAAAATTTTAAGGTGAGTACATACAATACTCCCAAATAAGAATTGTGGCCAATCAACAAACGAAACTACATGGATTAACTGAAAAATTATAAATGAATTAAAAAAAAACAAAAAAGGAGATAAGATCTCAAGTGTTTTCCTTGTTAATCCTATTAAAAATGCTTTGATATAATGGATTAAAGGAGAAAAAAAAAAAAAATATATATATATATATATATATATATAAATATATACATATATATAGAACTAAGGTATAATATATTCTCATTAGTATTTATATACATTATTTTATTTTTTTAAATGAAATTAGTGAAATTTTTAAGAAAAAAACTAATATTAATATTTTATATTTTAAAAATTAACATGTTGTAGTAATACATATTGAATAAAACTGTTTATTTTATTTATATTTTTTATTACTTTTTTTTTTTTTTATGTTATTATTCAAGTGGGTTCTATATTAAATATATGTACATATTTTCTCATATGGTTTATTTAATTTTTTATCATTTTATACATATAGCTTAAATGAGTTAAAGGAAAACATTAAATATGAATAAATAATATATATTCTTTTTTTTTTTCTTTTTTTGTATTTTATCTCAGGAACATGGAAATGCATATAATATTATTCTAAAAACGTTTTTGTTTATTTTTATTTTTTTTTTTTTGATTGAAGTGCATAAATTTACATAACATTGCTACAAATATTCTTTATAATTATTTCATTTTATTTTTTTGAATATAAAAATATATTGTATTGAGAAATGTTTGAACAGGAGACATTTTGTGTTAAAATAAGTGATACAAGTAAATTTGTTAATACGGCTGAAACACATATTGAAGAGACATATGAAAGTGAAAATATAAAAAAAGTTGAAGAAATATATAAAGTGGAAATAGAAAAAAATGATGAATTAGATGAACAAAAATATTCATTTTGGTTATCAATCTCTTATGCATTAATGGCTATAATATCAGAGGCCCCTTATTTTATAATAATATCAATGGCCGATTTTTTTAAAAGTGCATTCAATGTAAGCGATGTTATGATAAATGAATTTGCTATAATGGAGAGTATAATTGTAATTGTTGTATGCGTTTTATTACATTTGATTGGAAGTTATAGATTAAAATGGAATTTATATCAACCTATATTAACTGTGTTTGTTTTAGGAATATTATATTTAGTTATTCTTTTTAAACGAGATCACATAGGCCACAAAATTATAATATTTAGTGCAATCCCATTAGGTTTTATTTTATGTATAGCTAAAATGACTACCATTAAAATATGTGTTTTGTTTAAAAAGCCTTATTGTAGTGCATATGTGTGTGGGTTATCACTTTCTGGATTTTTAGTTTTTTTGTTATATGTATTGGGTGCATATGTATTATTTCCTAATGATGAAAATAAATTCTGTAACATGTTTTCTTTATTTTGTGGAACAATTTCTCTGCTATCTATTATATGCTTTTTGATATTATTCAAAATATATAATTTACCTTTTGTAAAAAGATTAGAAGAAAAATATGGTGATAAAGGGCTTTTAATAAACAAAACTATTTTAGTTGATTCTTTCCAATCTTTAAATATGATTTGGAAATATATGATTGTCGGTTTTCTTACAAATTTTTTCACATATCAAATATATCCATCCATATTCCCAACAAGCGTAGATATACAAAAAGAATCAAAGGGTCTTTTATCAGGAGTGTTATTATTTGGAGATTCTTCAGCTCGTCTTGTAGTTCACAATTTAAGCAGCTACTTTATTAAAATATCCTTTTTATCTTATTCATGTGTTCAAATTTTCAGATTTGCATTACTTCCTATTTTTGCACTTATTGTTATATATAAACATTATATTCTCAATAATCTTATATTTTTAATTTTTTTAGCATATATATTTGGTTTTACAAATGGATTAATTAGTAATGCTGTTTTTTTGAAACTGCCTGAAGTATGCAACAAAAAAAATAAAAGAGAATATCTTCAATTGGTTCCGAATATAGTTTATTTATCTCTTTTATTAGGAACTACGGTTGGTTGTGCAACATCAAAAATATATATGAAAATTTTGCCTATTATTTAAATAATATAATACATATTTATATTTTATTTAAAAATTTTTATATTTTTACCATTCAAAATTTTTTTAAAAAATTAATATAAAAAATTATACCTACTTTAATTATTTCTTATATTTTATATAATTACTTTAAAAAAAAGCATAATATAACTGTTTTACATTTTTTTTTCCCTAATCTCAAACAAATAATTATAAACATAATTTCCTTTTTATTTTAATTTTCTACAAAATTTTGTTCCATTTTTATTTTTCATATTTAATACATAACATGTTTTGATATATGTTTGGTATATTTTTCAATTATAGTTTTTTTATAAAGGAGTTTACACAAACACTATTAATTTTTTGTTTTTTTATTTCATAATTCTACAATATAAATTAAGTTATGACTCATTCATAAATTTTAATAACCTTTTATGTAAAAAAAAAAAAAAAAAAAAAAAATAATAAAGTAAAACATATTAAATTACTGATGAATATATATATGAACCAAATTGAATAAAGAAAATCAAAATTAAAAGAAAGTAAAATATTTAATAGATATAAATTGCAAAACTTAATAATTAAAATTAATTATTACTATTAAAAGTGATTTTACTTTACCAAGTATTAATTTTTATAATTTAAGTTTTTAGCTATTTTGAAGATATTATATACTACTGTACTAAATGAAGATACGAAAAAAATTTATTTTCAAAAATATCAGATTTATAAGAATAATTAATAAGCATTTTTAAAATATCTTCATAAATTTCTTTTGAAATATTTATTAATTCAGAATTTACATATTTTATTTCATTTTTGTTTTTTAAGCAATATAATATTTTCATTACTTTCTGAAAAAATAAAAAATCATCATATTTTTTTTTTTCCATAATTTTACAAATATACAAATTTTTTATAAACACTCTTATTTCTATAATTTTATCTTTTTTGTCATTTTTTAAATAAAATAAGAATGTATTATATTTTTCACTTTTATTAAGAATGTATTCATTAAGAAATATTAAATCTGTGTAATTATTAAAAATGTTTACATTATCTAATAGCATTTTAATTTTATGTTTAAATATATAGATTTTTAAATTACCGTGGTAGTTATTCTCTTTTTTTATATTTTTGAATGTATTCTCTATAATATTTTCATTAAAACAATTAAAAGTTTTGTTTTTTTCTTTTTCATTTCTTTCCACATATTCATTTAAAAAATTATCTTTCTTTTTTATATTCATTTGAATATCTGATAATTGTTCATTTATGTCATTAGTATTTTTAGTTGCAAAACCACTTGAATATTCTCTATTAGCAATTTTTATTTTTTCTCCATTTTTTTCAACATTATTTACATAAGATTTTATAGAGCTAAATAGAGACTTATCAAGTTTTATATATTGATTCCTATTAACCTCCTCCGTAGAATTAAAGAACAAAAATTTAATATTATCATAAATATTTTTATTAACATGATAAGAGTAAGTATTTTCATTTTCATTTTCTAAATAACCTAATGAATTATAACAAAAATTACAAAAAAACATATATCTATAATTTTCTATTGATTTTTTTTCAACCAGTAATTCACTATTTTTTATTAAGTTAAAATTAAATGATAAACAATTAGAAAAAATTAACATATTATTATCATTATCCTTCAAAGTATCATAAGAAAAGGTTGTGCATTCTTCACAAAATGCATGTTCAAAAAAATCATTTATGTTTAAATGTAAATGTGGCATTATAAAATTAATATTTGAATACGATATTATATCAGAATTACATAATTTGCATTGTATAATATTTTTTTTTATTTTTAACATATTGTCTAATTCCTTATTTTTATTTATTTCAAAAAAATTGTTACTTTTTTTATTAACGGTTATGTCAAATAATAAGTTAATACTCAATTTTTTATCTAATATAAAATGAATTGATTTTATATTTACATTTAATATTGATAACATAGAAGGTAAAAATAGATATTTACAAAAATACTTTCTTTTAAATAAAGAAAAATCTTTTGTAAAAACATTTTTTTCTCTTAATACATCAAATATATCAAAATAATCTAATCCATTTTCTTCATTTATTTTTTTTATTTTCTTCATAAAAATATTATTACCTAATATGCTTTCTGATGTATTTGTCATTATCTTTTTGTTATAATCTTTCTTTCTTTTTTTTTCTTCATCTTCTTCTTCTTCTCTTTCCTTTAATTCTATTTTTACTGGAATATTTAGATTATTTCTGTTATTACTTTCATTATTTAAATTATTTCTTTCATTGTTATTATATATAGTTTTGTTACATAAATCATGGTTATCTTTAAAAAAAAGTTTATTTTCCTGTGTTTTACTCAAATTATTACAATTCAAATATTTTTTTTCAAAACAATTCACTTTTTCTTTTTCAACATTTTTGATATTAGCAATATTTGATTTTATTTGTTTCTTATTATTTTTTAAAAATATATGCTCATTTGTATCGTTATAAATTAATCGCAACTTAATTTTATATAAATTGAAGTTTCTTATTTTTTTTTTTTTTTTAATTATGACAAAAGCTTTAATGTGATTTAATATATTTTTTGTAATTATTAAATCATTAAATAAAGATTTATCTAAAATATTTATTTGGATATTTATTGATACTATATTTTGTTTAATATAATATTCAGCATATTTCATAGTAGAAAGAAAAAATTGTGTAGATGTAAATTTAATTATTAAATTGGAGAAAACGTTTACTTTTAAAAAATTAAGAACAAAAAAAAAAAAAAAAA